TACTTCTTTTCCAGAGTATACATAGAAGTGAAATTGCTAATCATTTGTTCATTTTCAGTTCTACCTAGAAATTCCACCAAATTGCTCGTTTGCTGCGAATCACCTTTTCAAATTCTCTATTTTTGTATTGGATTATTTGTCTTTCTCTTATCAGTCTTTAGTCTTTAGTGTTTTACATATTCTCAATGCTAATCATTGTCTATTATCTTTGCAAATGTTTCCTTCCAATCTGTCAGTTGTTTTTTAACCTTGTATCTTTTATCACATACAGTTTACTTTTTAACGCAGCCCAAATTATCAATATTTTTCTCTTTGGTTTGAGCTTTTCACGTTTTAAGAGATCCTTTCCTGTTATGAGATCATAAAGATAGTCTACTATAAACGACAACTTTCTGGAGAGGATGAATTCCTGCTCAGACTTCAGAAACACCTCAGATGTGCCTACTGCATTTAGCTTCTGTAGAAGGATGTTGAAATCAAGGTCTTTTTGTCTCACTTTTGTTTCAGGCCTCAAATCGGTGTCAGTTTGCGCACATGCCAAAGGATGGTGCTGGCCGAACTGGCAGGGTTTGCAAAGCAGTTTGAAACAGATTTTGCATGCCTTAGCCCATTGAGGCTTCAAAAGGGTTGACAGGTTTGAACATGGGAAAGAATTTCTTCAAAGAAAGTTATCAGTGTGCCACATCCAACTCCCCTCGCAGCGCCCAGTGAAGAGGATGCAAAGCTACTTTCCCCTTTTCTTATTTTAATTTTTATTATTTTTTTTGAGACAGAGTCTCTCTCTGTTGCCGAGGCTGGAGTGCAATGGCACGATCTCGGCTCACTGCAACCTCCCCCTCCCGGGGTTCATGTGATTCTCTTGCCTCAGCCTCCCAAGTAGCTGGGCTAACAGGTGCCTGTTACCACGCCCGGCTAATTTTTTTTTTGTTTTTTTAGTAGAGATGGGGTTTCACTGTCAGGCCTCTGAGCCCAAGCTAAGCCATCATATCCCCTGGGACCTGCACATACACATCCAGATGGCCTGAAGCAACTGAAGATCCATAAAAGAAGTGAAAATAACCAGGTCCTGCCTTAACTGATGAAATTCCGCCATTGTGATTTGTTCCTGCCCCAACCTAACTGATACAATATAGTCTGCCCTGCCCTTAAGAAGGTACTTTGTAACATTCTTCCTGGCCCTTAAGAATGTACTTTGTACCTCTATCCCAAATCTATAAGAACTAACCATAATCCCACCACCCTTCGCTGACTCTCTTTTCGGACTCAGTCCACCTGCACCCAGGTGAAATAAATAGCCTTGTTGCTCACACAAAGCCTGTTTGGCGGTCTCTTCACACAGACACACATGACATTCACCATGGTGGCCAGGCTGGTCTTGAACTCCTGACCTCAAGTGATCCACCCGCCTCAGCCTCCCTACTTCCCCCTTTTCTTTTTCTTAAGCCACAAGTGAGGACCAGAAGACCAGTTGGCAAGGCTCAAGGTGGGTCCCCAGCCAGAGGTCAGAGGTCTCTGGTACCCGAGACCAGGTGTGGAACCAGAGGTAGGAAAGTCTAAATGAGGTACTGCTCAGAGGGCTTCTGCCAAAAGTGTGAGGACCTCTGCTGGCAGAGGCTACATGGGCACCATCTCATGCCAAAGCTTCAACCTAGGAGGGGCCAGGGCCAGCCTAGTGCAAGAGGAGGGTGACAGAGAAGCAAGCAGCCACCTTCCCCTTCCCACTGTCAGCCAGAGGAGGCCCATGTCGGGGAGGAGAGGAGCTCAAGTCTGAGAGACACTTGGAGTTTTTGGTTTTGATATAAAACTGGATGTGCATTTTTAATTTTAGGGGCTACTCTTATGATTGAAAGTGACTACAGGAATTAAAAAATACATATGTTAGAGGGACTAGATATTAACTGAGAATGAGAGGGACCTGTTATAAACTTCATCCAAGGGCAAGGAATGAACCAGTCCCACACTGCAGGCTTGACCAAGTAATGAGGAAAGAACATTGTCTCCTAACCACGCCCCATTCCCACTGTCCAATACATTGGCTTTGCTGCCAGCATTCCAATAGTGCCACAGCATGGACACACCACCTTCGGGAGAGTTCAACATTACAGGGCTAGAGTTCCATGGTACGTATTTACGAATATAAGTCATTGCCATCACAAATTTAGACATCATACAGCACGATTTTTAGACATTAAAATATATTTGTACATCTATGTTCATAGCATTATTCGCAAGAGTCAAAGGTGGAAACAAGTCAAATGTCCAACGAAGGATGAGTGGATAAACAAAGTAAGGTCTATCCATATGATGGAATATTATTCTGCCTTAAAAAGGAAGAGAATTCTGACGCCCGCTGCAACACGGATGAACCTTGAGGACATTATGCTAAGTGAAATACGTCAGTCACAGAAGGACAAATACTGCATGATTCCACTCACATGGGGTATCCAGAAGTCAACTTCATTGAGACAGAAAGTAGAAGACTTCTGCCAGGGGCTGGGGGCAGGGGAATGAGGAATATTTAATGGGCATGGGACTTTGGTTCTGCAGCCTGGTTGCACAACAACGTGGGTGTACTTCGCTACTGAAAGTACACTCAAAAATGGTGAAGATGGTAACTTTTATGTTATGTGTATTTTATAACAACTATAAATAAAATCATCCAAAAAATAAAAGGATCTAAATAAAAAAGAAAATGTAACCTTCATCAGTAGTGTATCAATAGTGGGGGTAACAATGATAGCCAGGAGTGGCCAAGAAGGATTGAGTCTTACCATGTGTCAGGTGCCAGGACTCAACCCTGTGATCTCATTCATGCCTCATTTCAAACCTACCAAGTCCTTTCGAGAGGGAAGCCCTGTCCAAAGCCCTGTTTTACAGGTAAGGAAACCAAGGAAGAGAAGCGTTCATGTGCCCAAGGTTATCTGAAAGCAGTTGAGGTTAGGGCTTGCCCTCTGAATCATCTGGCAATGGACAGATTTCATCCTCATGAAAAATTCCCCCTCTTATGGCATCTTAGACTAGATGAGATCATAGAAAGAATGAGTGTAATTGCTGACCTGCACATAGTTCAGATTTTACAAAGCATTTTCTCACTTGATCCTACTCATTAAAATACTGCAGGTAACACAGGTATTCTCTTTTTATTAAATAAAAAATTGAGCCCTAGAGAAATGAAAACACACTGCCAGTCAGGGCTCCAATTCCACAGCGTCTACCTCTGAGTCCACAGCTACACGTCCACATCCAACTCCTCATCTGGTCCAACTTCTCATTTTTCAGATGAGAATGTCTACAAGGGACACACCCAGAGAGGCTAATGGCTTGTTCAAGGTCACACAGAGAGCTCATTTATTTTGCATACATCATCGTTTATATCTTTAAAAATATTCTGCCATGATAACATGTATTTTATAAACATGTGTTTGACAAAGTAAAAACTGGTATGGGCAGAGATCTCTATCACATAAAATAGAGTGCTTCCTCCTAGAAGCTACTTTATTTGCAGAGCTGATGCATCAGAACCACCACTTCACTTAAGCACCCAACTTTCCAGTGCCCGCCCTGACCCAGCCTCCTCGTCCATTAGCTCTACAATTAGGCAGCGATCAATTGAGCAAATTCACTTAGACAGCACATCTAGCCACGCTTGCAGTGGATTTGCTACCGAAGCAGCAAAGTACATGACAGCTGCAGAATACAGATTGTGGAGGAATGGAACTCCATCAAACCTCATCTGATCCTGACTGCCGGTCCATGAGGAATTCTTAAAAGAGTCTCAATAACCCTGAATGAACTTTGTGATGTCTGAGCATAAAATGCAGTGCTAAGTTCTTTTGTCCAGCATACTCTTTTCTAATAAAATAACTCTTTTGAGTTTGATCCAAAACTGATGACAAGAGTGAAGAAGAGATTGCTATCCCTGATTATAGGCATACGTAAGGTTAATGGGAATTATCTGTTAGCATGGGAAGTCTGCCAATGCAATCCCTCATATGTCAGATTAAGGCACTCCACCACGAAGGCTTGTATTTTGGTTTTGTCCTTTGTTTCCTTGCTGCCTTAATATCATGGGTGAGACTGGGGCTGGTACTGACTTAGTAAACTCTGTGAGAGTCGCCTCTTCTTTCTAGCTGGAATATGCAAGAAAAGCCAAAGAGGAACAGGTTCTACAAAGAGCTTGACAGCAGCAAAAGGTGTGCAGTCCTACCAATTAACATTTCTAAGTCTACTGGTTGGGAATCTCTCCTACATTAGCTCACAAAAAACAACGAGAAATTGTATATGGAAATAAACCCATGACTTCAAGTTATCAGTACTACATAGTAAGGGTAGTAACGGCTGACAGTCAATGAGCACTTTCTCTTATTAAATTACCATTAGACAGTACACTCCACAAGGGCAGGGGCTAAGGCTGGTTGTTTTAATTTTATTTTTTTCACAGAGGCAGGGTCTTGCTATGCTGCCCAGGCTGGACACAAAACTCCTGGGCTCGAGCAATCCTCCTGCCTCAGCTTCCTGAGTAGCTGTGCTTAGAGGCCTATGCCACTGCGCCTATCTCTTTTGCTTACCACTGGATCCCTAGCTCTCAGAAGCATGCCTTCTAAGTGGTATCTTCTCAAAAAACATTTGCTGAATGACTAAAGTATCTCATTTAGTTTTCATAACAATCCTAAAGGTTTGATACAATATTATTACCACAATTTCACACATAAGAAAACTGAAGTTCAGTAGTAATTAAAATGTGTACAATGTCACTCAGTTTGCAAGAGTCAGAGTTTATACTCAAACCCGTATGGACTTGATACCAGAATCTATGATTCAAGCACAAGCATAATTCCATAGACCAGACCTTAGGGCTTTTCCATTACTGAAACCATTTATGAAAGAGGGGGCCTGAAAGAATAGATTTTATGTCAGTATGGATATCACTCCATTCTTGTCATCAGCTTTTAGATTTCTTCAATATTCTACAACAACTAAATTTAAAAGAAGTAACTTACCTACAAATCCTTCTTCACCAACCAGTTTCAGGGCAATTTTATCAGCCAACACTGAAGAGTTGCCGTGAGCAATGTTAGCAAAAGGGCCCGCATGCACGAACACAGGTGTCCCCTAGAGAAGTGAAAGAGCAAATCAAAATCCCAAAAGACAAATAGAAGCATGGAAACCAAGATCAATTTGGGGCAAACAGGCTAGGAAAGCTTTTATGAATACTGCATATTTAATGCATAAAATATTTCAAAGACAGTCAAAACACCCTGACTCAAAGGACCAAATCCCCTCCGGATTCTAGAAACATGTTATTCAACATTTAATGAGACACAAAACCTGAGACACAAAACTGTGAGAATATAGTCACTTCCTTCCAAAATATTGTTAAGCCATTTTGTTAGTTGACTCAATGACCATGAAATAAATTATTTACCTTATTTTATGTTGCTATGCACTATATTTTTCAAAAGAATGAAATTAAACCCTGATAGTATAAGAAGTGTATTTATTTATTTTTTAAATTAAGAAATGATTCCATTCAACAAAAGATAACCATAAAAATCAATACAATTGGCTGGGCGCAGTGGCTCACGCCTGTCATCTCAGCACTTTGGGAGGCCGAGGTGGGCAGATCACCTGAGGTCAGGAGTTCAAGACCAGCCTGGCCAACAGTGAAACCCATCTCTACTAAAAATACAAAATTTAGCAGGGTGTGGTGGTGTACCCCTGTAAACCCAGCTCAGCTACTCGGGAGGCTGAAGCACAAGAATCACTTGAACCTGGGAGGTGGAGGTTGCAGTGAGCTGAGATCGCACTCATTCCAGTCTGGGTGACAGACCGACTCTGACTCAAAAATGAAAAAAATAATAAATAAAAATAAATAAATAAAACCCAGGGACACATGTTTATGAATACGTAAATATGTATGTTTGGTGTTTATATCTCTGTCTTATCTCACTTCTATCTAGATTAACCTTTTAAGTGTTCTGAAGAAAATATTTTTAAAAAGAACTTAAGTCTCCATCCCCTCCTAACCTTGCTGGTCTTCTGATGTCCTTGCCCATAATAAGCTAGTGGAGATGGTCAAAGTTTGACGAGGACAAGGTCACAAACTCCACCCTGGATGGGCAGCTAGCTTCACTCAGCTACAGGCTGCCAATTGTCTGAGAAGCACCCAGCTTGGGTCTCCAGGGGACAGAAGTGGTGGGAGCTGAATCCGCATAAGCACATTGCTCTTCCTGGGATAACCACCCCAAACAGCTACTAGATCCTCAGCAATATTTTAATTTAAAAAAGCAAAGGACTTTTATTCTTTGTAGACTCTCTCTTATTTTTCAGGCTGGATACTAACCTATTAGCAAAAGCATTTTTTATTTGTAATTGATGAATAATAATTGCACCTATTTATGACGTACAATGTTCTGTTCTAATATATGTATGTAGCATGGAAAGATTATATCAAGCTAACCAACGTATCCATCACCTCACAGATTTATCCATTTTGTAGCGAGAACATTTAAAATCTAATTTTTTAACACTTAAAACATGCACAATGCTTTTTTCTTTTCTTTGAGATGGAGTCTTGCTCTGTCACCTAGGCTGGAGTGCAGTGCCGCCAACTTGAGTCACTGCAACCTCCGCCTCCTGGGTTCTAGCGATTCTCCTGCCTCAGCCTCACCAGTAGCTGGGACTACATGTGCATGTCACCAAACCCAGCTAATTTTTGCATTTTTAGTAGAGATGGGGTTTCACCATGTTAGCCAGGCTGGTCTCAAACTCCTGACCTCAGGTGATCTGCCTGCCTCAGCCTCCCAAAGTGCTGGGATTACAGGTGTGAGCCACCACGCCTGGCAACAATCCACTTTTATTAACTACGGTCACCTTGCTGTGTAATAGATATTGAAAACTTATTCCTCCTGTCTAACTGGAATTTTGTATTATTTGGTCAACTTCTCCATCCCCCACTGCCTCTGATAACCACTATTCTACTCTTTACTTTGCAAAAGCACTTCATATTTTTGTATAAATGTAGCTTTAGCTAGAAATCACAGAATCAGATAATGTTGAGAACACGAAGAGGCCAACTTCTTTATCCAGAAAGTTAAGGTCCAGAGAGGCTAAGGGAATTCTTCAAGGCCACGGAGGAAATTAATAATTAAGTCAAGATTAGGGCTCTGGTTTTAAAACTCCCAGTATGGAGTTCGCGAGAAAAAAATACTGGAACGTCATTGTTAGATATCCAAACACAGGTACCTACACACTTGCACACTCAAACATGGATATAGCTATAAGATACAGTACGTTGAATTAAACGTGTTGCTTAAAAAATTCTATGACTAACTCAAAGGCATACACACATTTATCTTGAGTTCTGGGTTTTATTTTATATGCAGAACACTTAGGAAAATAAGGCAGGAACTGTTTTGCTATGAATATTCTCCATAATGGCCCTTTCAAACATTTCATAAGATTAATATTTCAATTACTTGTTAGCTTACCAGAATTCTAAGCACTTAAATGTGAGCAGTAAAAAGTAAATAAATAAATGCACAAATAGAAATGTGGCTAACATGACTGAAGAACTGAATTCCAAATTTTATTTAAATACAGGTAATTTAGGTTGAAATGGCCACATGTCCAGTGGCCGCCATATTGGACAGTGTGCTCTCGCATGTGGAGTTTCCATCAATGCCACACATGGCTAACCTCTGGGAAAATGTTAAGAGCTCTCATTGTTTCTTGTCTTAAGTCTTCCTCAGTCTGGCGATACATGAGAAGCACTTGGGGTACCCAAGCCTTATCCCCAGACATTACGTTCACTGGGTCTGATGGGGAGTCCGGCATCAATCAATATTCTTAAATCTTCCCAGGAGCTTCTCAAGTGCAGTCAGGATTAAGAACTACTGGTCTCCTGGCAACCTACAGTGATGTAGCCCTTGATGACCTCTTACCAGACTACAACCAGGTGTGTTCAAATGTGAGCAGGAAAGCGTAATCTACAAACTAGTCAATGATTTTTGGATTACCTGCTGAGATAGATTCCTAGTCAATGATTAGATACATGAAACCCAGAGTGACAACATAGGATCAGGGTACAAGAGTTCATGTTGCAAATATTTTAAGTGAATGTAATGTTTTATTTTGTAAAAAGGTCTTTATCTTTTAAACTAATCTTAAAACAGCCTATGCCTTAAATGAAATGGATGACATGGAACATTCTGAAGATGGTATCTTTATTTGCCAAGTGACAGATTCAGAAACAAAACCCAAGTCCATATAATCATCTGGCGAAAGTGGTTTCTCTATGGAAAGCTTTGTTTGCTTCCTATAAATACATGCTTATTCTTTAAGGGATGTATTATAGTTACTGTGGATTTCTCTGTTTTCTGAC